AGGGGTTAGAATTCCTAACGTTGGGTTTGGGGCTCTGGAGTCCTTCACAATCTCGTCCTGTTTCCTTCCTTCACTGAGGCTTTCAGCAGTGGTCATTACAAACCGGTCCAAAGCTGGGTGCCTAACTATCACTTGAGGAGTATTTTAATAATACCATACTTGCTGGGCACAGAGGCACACACCTATTCCAGCTACTCAGGAGGCTGAGGTAGGAGGATCACAAGTTTCAGGCCAGCCTCTGCAATTTAGCAAGACCCTATCTTAAAATAAAAAATCAAAAGGACTAGAGATAGGGCTCAGTGGCTAAACACCCCTGAGTTCATTCTCCAGTACCTAAAAATAAAAAAGGGGTGGGAGTATAGCTCAGTGGTAAATCTCCTGTAGAGTCAATCCCCATTACTGAAAAATTTAAAAATGAACTAATCTTTTGAGACTCCAATCAATACCTAAAAGTTTCATTGGTGACTAGGGTGCACACCCATGTCTGGAAAAAACTATCTTGGTACACATCATATTTCCATCTCCACATTTATGCTTTTATTTTCCTATTGCTTTGTAATGACATTCTTTGTACTCTCTTTAATTCCTGTGAAATTTCAATAAAAATATTTAGGTAGTTTTTAATCTTCATCAATGGTATTTGCAACAACACTAAATGATGCCAAAATTATGCTAATATTGTCCCTGTCAGTAAAAATATTTTATACAGAAGCATATCCACTTTAATATTACTTATAACAAAAAACTAGAAATAATCCTAAATGTCCAACAATAAAAATAAGTTATATTATGATACAATCACAGAAATACCATCTAACCATAACAGAATATACATTAGTGGGATTTTTTTCTTTAATAATTTTCTAAATATTATCATTGGTTTATCATTTCTTTTGCAGGAGGGACTGAACTCAGGGGCACACAACCACTGAGCCACATCCCCAGCCCTGTTTTGTATTTTATTTAGAAACAGGGTCTCACTGAGTTGCTTAATACCTCACTTTTGCTGATTCTGGTTTTGAGCTTGCAATCCTCCTGCCTCAGCCTCCAGAGCTACTAGGATTACAGGCGTGCACCACTATGCCCGGTTCATTTATTTTTATTCTGTAAAATTTCTATTTCCCATTTTTATACTAGTTCATTGGTCTCACTCATTTGTAGAAGGCTTTTGGATGTTGTGCATCATAAGCCTATGATATATTTAGCAAGTCTTCTCTCCCAATCTTCAATGAGTCTTTTAATTATATTTATGTGTCTTGCTGTCCAAAATTGGTAAACTGTTTAAGAAGTAAAGAGCTACCCTCTGTTCCTTCCCTCAGGGACTGTGAATAACTAAAAGGTTTACACCACCATTTTTAAGTAATATACATCTGAAATACTCCATTCTTTTCTGTAAATGCTTGCTCGATTTTTGCCTAAAGGATCAACAACACATTTGCCTAGAATTGCTTTCCTGAGGATCACCTACAGGCTCACCCTATTGCTTTAAAATGATGAAGGATGCTAGGACTGGGTGATGAGAGTTTCTTTATGCTAATCCCTTTCATTTTGCATATGTATGGATATTTCTGTAACAAAAAAATTAAAATTTTAAGTGTCTATACCGATTTTTAGTCAGATCCCAAAACAAGTAACAGAAAGGAATGAAAAAAAAAATTCTAAGAAATAGCTTAAAATTCAGGGAGTAAAGACATACTTAACAGAGCTTGTGTAAAGAACTGATATTCATCCACACTATTGTCAAGGTCAAGTGG